CGGTAACACTGTGGCAGCAAATGAAATGCAAATGAGAGCTGAAAGTGAATAGAAAATTGAAAGAAGAAATGGCAGCAAATTAACAACTAGATTTAAGTCAATGTGTTAGGTAGTTAATTAAAGTACTTATATTATGCGAAAGTTATTATATTATGTACAAGTTATTGCATATAGGTGAACATTAAATGAGAAAAGCATTGTTTTCTGCAATAAATAGCAGAACATGAACGGCGAAAGTGATGGATTTTTTTGGGAGAGGAAGGGACTTGGAAGTGGAGGGAGACACACAGGAGTTCCCTCCTTGATGAGGTGAAAATTCAATTTTCTCATTTATGTTCTGCTATTAAATAGCAGAAATATCTCAATACATCAATAATAATTTTTATATTTATCTAATACATTTAATGTAAGATTACATTAAAAGATTTACTATAACTTGTGCGGCTTCATTTACTTTCATTTGCTGCCACTTGTGCAGCTTCATGTGGCTGTACTTGCTGTTACTTTGCAGCCTCATTTCCTTTCATTTGCTGCCACTTGTGCAGCTTCATGTGGCTATACTTACTGCTACTTTGCAGCCTCATTTCCTTTCATTTGCTGCCACTTGTGCAGCTTTGACACCACAGCTCCAACAGAAAGCTTGAGCTTCATTCACCTCAATCAAAGTGGGAGCACTGAGTGTCTCTCCTTCTCTTCCAAGTCCTCTCTATACTCGTCTTAAAAAAATCCCCAACACTTTAAAGCAGCAACGCTAAATTGTAAAGGATAAAATTAAGTTACCGAGTTAGACTGCGGTGTGTATCAATGGCCACGCAAGCTTGTGGCCTCAAGATTCTTGAAGATAGCCATGTATCTCCGCCGCCTGGCTCAGTTCCGACCACCACCGTGCCTCTCACCTTCTTTGACATCCTCTGGCTTGGTTCTTTCCCCATGCAACGACTCTTTTTCTATGAATTCCCTTACCCTACCTTGCATTTCACCCAAACCATTCTTCCTAATCTCAAAACCTCTCTCTCCCACACCCTACAACATTTCTTCCCTTTTGCTGGGAATCTCGTGTTCCCTCCACGTCCTCAACAGCCCTATATCCTCTACAAAGAAGGCGACTCTGTTAACTTTGTTGTTGCCGAATCCATGGTCAACTTCAACCATCTTGTAGGCAACCATGGAAGAACGATCGGACAATTTCAACAGTTGCTAGTGACGAATTTACCGCGGGTTACAGTTATGGGTGGACGCGAACAGCAGCATGCCATGGGCGTTCAAGTCACCGTGTTTCCGAACTCGGGCATCTCCATAGGTGTCACGTTCAGCCACATAGTTGCAGATGGCAGAGCATTAGCGCATTTCATGAAATCATGGGCCTTGATTTACAAGGCGAAAGGGGACCTGATTTCTCTGAACGATTCCCTTCCGATCTACAA